ATGACTCCATATTCTCCTTCTTGAAATTCCACGAACCAGTCCCTGTTGGGACACATATGATAGCTACAAGCCGAGTCCATCAACCATATGTCTGATGATGTTGATGACTCTGTTGTAACTAATGAGAAGTCTGAATCATCACAATCAGCTACATTTGAATCCATAATGGCCTTTCCATTGTTATGTTTGGCCTTATTCTTCAACTTCGGACAGTCTTTCTTCCAGTGCCCTTTTTCTCGACAAAAGGCACATTCATCTTTGCTGGGTCTGGATCTTGACTTGGATCTTCCCTTCTTTGTCCTCGTTTGATTTTGAGGACGACCCCTCACAAATAGTGCTTCTCCTTCTCCGCCCTTCTGTTTTTCTCGCTTTCTTTGTTCATAGCTGTACAAAGCCGAACAAACTTCTCTGAGAGAAACTTCGTCATTTCCATGGAGTAGAGTAGTTTCAAGGTGCTCGTACTCATCAGGAAGTGACGCCAACAACATCAAGGCCAAGTCACCATCATCATAAGTTGTATCCATATTTTGCAAATCTGTGACCAACTTATTGAAACTGGTGATATGTTCATTCATCGTGGTACCAGGAACATAGGTGAAGTGAAACAGTCTCTTCTTCATGTACAATTTATTTTGACTGTTTTTCTTCAAAAATTTATCCTCCAGTGCTTTCCATAATTTACTTGCAGAAGTTTCCTTTGTGTATGGATATTTCTGCTCTCTAGCAAGGTAGGATCGAATGGTACCGCAAGCAACACGGTTGATAATTCTCCAATCTTCTTCTCCAATAACATCTGGTTTCTTTTCTTCAATGGCCAGATCTAGCCCTTGTTGAAAAAGGACATCTAGAACCTCGCCTTGCCACATCCCAAAATGTCCGGACCCGTCAAATATTTCTACCGCAAATTTCGCATTTGACACAATTCTTGTCATAAGCGAAGATGCCAATGATGACGTATTGTTGACACTTGATGTAGATTCTTCTTGTTTATTGTCTCCCATCTTTGACACAAATATTATTTAATAGCTGACGACACAAATCAAGATTATTTCCTTTCTGGTGTGGAAGATCAGACTAAGCTGCAACCACAGAGCATACTCAGACAGAACCTTGACTCAGTTACCAAGATAAATCTTTTCTGATGTGGAAGATCAGACTATGCTGCAACCACAGAGCATACTTAGACAGTACCTTGGCTCTGATACCAATTGTTGCGGAAGCCAAATGTATATAGTGTGAATAAGTCACAACTACTATACCAAAAATTATGACAGCCACCAAATAATAAATAAGACAATAAAGCAACAATAAAGGGAACACCAGAATTTACGAGGTTCGGCTAATTTTGCCTACTCCTCGGACACAACCAATATTTTATTCCACTCCAAAAATACAAGTGAAATAATACTAAAGAGAGAAGATACAAATGCCTTAAACAGATGAGAAGGCAAATGAGAGGTGTATTTAAATCCTAAACATTAAGCCTTCTTTTATAGGGGAAAATCCCCCCAACCCTTTTTTTCCCACCGATGTGGGACAAAACGTTTTGCCAAATTCAACAAAGAAGGTAGAGGAGCTGTTTCCGATGGACCCTCGACATATTTCAAGCATAATGATCTTTATAAGCTTATACATGTTAATAGAAAAATATGCACCTCATTTTTGTCGTTGATCACATCTTATAAAATACATTGAGCTAATTGATGACTCCCATTGCAGGGGAAGAAGGGAGTTTGGCTTAAGCTACCAGTGGACAAATGTGATCTTGTTCCTATTGCAGTAAAGGTATTATATCACTTTTCTTAAATTNAATAAAGGTATTATATCACTTTTCTTAAATCTGTAAGTTTTGGCGTTAGTTCTTTTGATATTGAATGCTGGCTAAAAATAATGGTCAAACTCTAAATTTTTGTAGGAAGGATTTCAGTACCATCATTCAGAAAAAGGACATGTCATGTTGACTTATTGGATACCAGATGAACCCTGCATGCTTCCTTCTAATGCATCTCATCAAGTTGGAGTTGGAGGTTTTGTGATCAATGATAAAAATGAGGTGCATATTTTTCTATTTGGATGAATCTCCTATTAACACGTATAAGCTTATGAAGATCATTATGCTTGAAATATATCGAGGGTCTATTGGAAATAGCCTCTCTACCTTCTTAAGGCAGGGGTAAGGTCTGCGTACACACTATCCTCCCCAGACCCCCGCTCATGGGATTACACTGGGTTTTCTGTTGTTGTTGTTATTGTAGTCCCATAGCCTAATGAAATACTGATTTAGGTGCTCGTCGTGCAAGAGAAACATTCTGCGCTGGCTCTTTCAGGCTTATGGAAAATACCAACTGGTTTCATTCTTGCGGTATGTTCCTGTATTGCAATTTGATCTTGGTCGCTTTTGAGTTTTGACTAAAGTAAATAGTGAAACATAAAATCTTGATACTTGACTCCTTAAACGCTGTTCTTGTATCAAAATAAAGTAAGAGGAGATCTTTACAGGAGTTGTGAGAGAAGTGAAGGAGGAAACTGGGATAATAAATCCACAAACATATTTTTTTTACTTAGATAAGCAATCTATAGTGAGAAATTGTAATTAAAATGATGAATTTTCTTTCTCATTATTCTTTACAGATTGATATTGAATTTGTGGAGGTTATGGCTTTGAAGTAACAAAAATCTTCCTCTTCAAAGGACCATGAATTTTTCACGATTATATGCCTTTTTAGCTCTAGGAAGATCTATATTAGCATATTTTATAAGAACATGAAATGCTGATACGATAAGTATCCGAGTAAACTTTGCTCAGACACACAGAGAATATAGAAGTACGATTTGCTAGACTTAACTGTTTAGGACACTTCTTGCTTACTAAAAAAGGACAGCTTAGTGCACTAAGCGCCTGCTATGTGCAGGGATTGGGTAAGGTCGGACCACATTGGTTCTTATGTATGTAGCCTTACTTGAAATTTCTACAATAAGTTGTTTCTGCCACTTGAACTTGTGACCTCCTGATCACACTGCGACAACTTTTATCGTTGCGCTAAGGCTCCCCTACACTTCATTGTTTAGGACACTTCTTGCTTTCTGGTGTAACAAATTGATCAAAAAGGATGTGCATTTGATGTAGAAATATATGATTTATTTTCTTCCAATTACAAAAAAACTGCCCATCTTCAAGATTAGTTGAGCTTCTTGCCCTCACTCATGCTATTTGAGACAATCACACTCTAAACCTTAGTTTAAAGTGTCAAGTGAAATGCTGGTTAAATTTTGGACCCTAATTGTTTATTTTACGGTCTCCATTTTTTAGTTAGCACTTATCGATATACTCTTTCAGGCATGCACAAAACGTGGCCTTTGAAAAGTCCGATTTGTTCTTCGTCTGCCTATTAAGGCCCATGTCAAAACATATCAAGGTTGATGATCTAGAAATTAAGGCTGCTAAGGTAAGAATATTGTATAAATTTAATAGGCGATATGAAAAGATTTGATATCTGTATTTCCTTCACTAAGTGATATATTCAGTCTAATTCATCCCCTTTATACTTTTTATTTCATCCACTACGTGTATTTTATGGAGGAAAATATTGATTAATCTCAAGAAAATTGAGAAACTACTTATTCCGTCATTTCAGAATATGGGCCATTAAAATCTAACATTAATATTTAGAATATACTCATCTATTGGCATTTTCATTCTTGTTTAATGTTCCACATTGGTTTGGGAAATTTGTTGTTTCCTTGCACGATGAGCTAGCTTTTTATGTTAAATTAGGCCAATATTCATTTTTCTTAACATGATATCAGACTGAGACTCAGACTCATCCCTGTTCTTGGCTTTGCGTCACACCCATCCGTGTTCTTGGCTTTGCGCCACACTATATTGTTCGTGCACAAGATGTTCAATCCTGGGCTTGCAAGGGATGTTAAGTATCTTATATTGATTGGGAAAATGTGTTAGTTCTTTTCTTATATGATTTTAGACTGAGACTCAGACTCATCCCTGTTCTTGGCTTTGCTTCACACCCATCCGTGTTCTTGGCTTTGCGCCACACTATATTGTCCATGCACAAGATGTTCAATCCTGGGCTTGCAAGGGATGTTAAGTGTCTTATATTGATTGGGAAAATGTGTTAGTTCTTTTCTTATATGATTTTAGACTGAGACTCAGACTCATCCCTGTTCTGTCTCAGTACTCATCCCTGTTCTTGGCTTTGCTTCACACCCATCCGTGTTCTTGGCTTTGCGCCACACTATATTGTTCGTGCACAAGATGTTCAATCCTGGGCTTGCAAGGGATGTAAAGTGTCTTATATTGATTGGGAAAATGTGTTAGTTCTTTTCTTATATGATTTTAGACTGAGACTCAGACTCATCCCTGTTCTTGGCTTTGCTTCACACCCATCTGTGTTCTTGGCTTTGCGCCACACTATATTGTTCGTGCACAAGATGTTCAATCTTGGGCGTGCAAGGGATGTTAAGTGTCTTATATTGATTGGGAAAATGTGTTAGTTCTTATATGATTTTGGACAATCTTCACCTCATGATCTAGCTTTAGGAGTTGAGTCAGACCCACTTCTGACTAGTGTGTGTGGTTTTATGCTACCTCACATTTACTTAACCTACCTTTCTGTTCGCGATGCAGTGGATGCCTCTGGCTGAGTTTGTAGAGCAGCCCCTAATACAAGGTGATGACATGTTCAAGAAAATAATTGACATTATTATCACTCGACTAGGGAAGCATTACTGTAGATTGTCTGTCCATTAACTGGTTTCCAAATTTGATGACAAACTTTCCACATTGTACTTCAACACAGTTGATGATCCAGATTTGAATTGTCAAGCCAATTACCATCACAATCAACATGGATATTACACTTCACCATTCGCAATGACTAACATCACTTGATCATTTTGTGTATATGTAATCTGCAGGGTATTGACTCTGTAAATATGTAAAATATATTTTTCAAGTGATTATCCAAAAAGTTTTTCTTCCCCTCAATGGCTCTTTAGCTTAATTGTACCTAAGCAAGGACACATGCCAAATTTTTGAATGTACTACACAATATAACTTAAACAAAAAATTACTCAGTATACAGTCAAGCAATCAAAATATCAGAACCAGAAAGAAGAAAAATAGTACAAACACGGAATAATTATTGGCAGAAAAATTACAAGACATGAAATGCATCACAACAAACTCCACTGATTAACTTTGGCTCAAAACTCTGTTTTTCTAGTGCAGGAAGTTCCTTCTTCTGCCTTTCTAATTCACTCCTGCATGAGGCAACAATGAGTCAAGCTCAACATACTTGATAACATTTGAATTATGAACTTCATATAACACTTAGACAATATTATCAGTCCGTTTAGAAATATTTCTTCCCCTCCATCTTGAGGCGAGTCGACAAATCCAATTTTTTCCATTTCTTTTGTGCATGTTGATAATGTTGAAGCGGATTTCACTTCAGCAGGTACCGGACTCTCCAACCGAACAACGAAATACATTTACCCGGATAAAAAAATTCAAAAAATGTCATTTTTCGAAAAATATTTTTTGGAAAATGACTTTTATCTTAGAAAACACACCCTTAATCTGTTTTTATTAAGTATAAGTTTCCCGAGGTAAAGCTAAGAGTGGATCTAAGACCTTATAAAGGTGATCAGTCCAGGGAGGTAATGAAAGAATTCGCTTGAGTTAATAGGGGAAAGGGAAGGAAAAGAAAATGGAGGAATTGTATTAAAACCATTTACAGCGTTTTGTATCATCACTTCGAGACATTTCAAATGTAAATATCTTCCATTTCATGACTACCTTTTTCTTACAGCAGTTTTTTTTAAAAAAAAAAAAAGAAGAGAAAATGGTTTATGATCCATAGGGTAAAAATATGCATTTTAAAAGGTCAACTGAGACATGAAAGGGGAACGCCTTTTGTTCAAAGTTGAATGGAGAGGTTTATCTTTTGCTACAAAATGTTTGAATCGGGACATATCTCAAAGCTACACCAGTAGACTACCTTTTCATCTTTCTTGTAAATGAGTTTTGACGTCTAACAGGAAATAAATGAAGAAGTCTAGGAACATTATGAACACTTTCGAACAAAAAGAAATAGGACAAAATCAATGCCCAAATTATTAGTTCTAAATAAAAGGATGCTAGTGGACGAATAATCAAGTATAGTGCCACTGACATTTTCATAATTGAGAAATCTAAAAGTGTATCGGTAAATCACCTGAAATGCAGTGGAAGTAGCCTCAACTTTGATCCTTTTGTCAGTATTGAACTGGTTGGAAACAATGCTCTAAATTTGACTTGAAGTTGTCGGAATCCCATTTCAATTGGTTCCACCATTCTGATCGTCCTTCTATTACTTTGATGTTCTTGGAAGTTTGAATAGAGAGAGGAAGCTTCCTTATTTGATTACAATCTATCAACTTAAGTTCCTGCATGTGTTCCCACGTATTCTCTGGCTCGCCCAGAGTTCCTAATTCTCGTAACTCTCTTAACCATAACTTCCGAACTCTAGGAATTTCTGAGTTGGCAAGTGTCGTCTGACTGGAGCCGCATTGCACAAACAACTCTACCAGCTCATCACAATAGCTAATTGCAATACGTTCCAGGTGATTCGGTACAGAAAAAGCTCCACCAACATTAAAGAGACATCTTAATCTTGCACAACGGGAAATATCTAGTCTGCGTAATTTAGAAAATCTTAGATCCAGAAGATGACTGATATCAGATACACTCTCTAAATTATTTATCCAGAAGAGGCAGAGATGTTCCAGATTTGGCAGAGGGTCAAACCGTCCACTTCCTTCTTCTGCTGGTTTGAAATCACAAGAACAGCCACTTACTGTAAGTTCTTTTATTCCATTAAAACTGTTGTATGCAATCAACTTCCTGAGACCCTTGCAGTTTTCCAAGCACAAATTTGAAGCAAACTGCAACATACCTGAGAGCTCTCCCTTACTGAAAATTTCACACTTCAAGATAGCTATATTCCTTGGTGAAAAGTTGAAATCTATAGGCAATTTAGTTTCCCCAACTACAATGCGAAATCTTTTCAATCTAGACATCCAGGTGTGGTCTCTATTAGAAACTGATGAGCTATCCAATTTGATGGAAAGAGAGGTCAGCTTCTGTAGAGAGGAGAGCTCATCAAAACAAGTCGATTCAAGACGGGTACCCAGCACATCTATCATTTCAATGCTTGCCAATTTGAGAAGAATTCCTTGGTCGATGCTCTTCAAATAATTTGCAGTTAAACGCCTCAGATCTGTCAACTTGTCCATTCCTTTCGGCAGACGATGTAACCTTGTATCATCGCAATCAAGCAATTGCAAATTGCAAAGATTACCAATAGGTGGTAACTCTTTCAACTCCTTGCAACTTTGTAGTATTAGAGCACGTAATTGACATAAACTATTGATGGAAGAACGCAGTGCTCTAATACCAGTTCCACTCAGATTCAAAACTCTTAGGGCTGGAAATGCAAGAAAAAGTTCATGGGGAATATTTTGAAGGGGATAATTATCTTGCAAAAGTAGAGTTGTTATCTCTGGGCATTCCATCAAGCCATCAGGTAGACATTTAATGCCGTTGCTTATGAAAGATATTCTATTGACAGAAGTAGACATTTTAATATGTGATATATCACTCAACCCAATTCCAGCTTGAATAAGAGAATTGTGCTCACCCCCAAAGGAATTAGCTATCCATATAGCAACATCGCGAACCACGTCATGCATCTTCACAGAGTTCAACGTATGGGCTTCTAGTAAGCACGCATCTTTTAGAATCTCAATCATTGTAATTCCCCTGTTGTAGGCTTCTTCATGCGTGTTACGTTCTCCAAGGAACCCCTCCGCCCACCAACAATGTATGAGATCATCTGTTGAAATAGCCGCTGGATATCAGGAGCAATACTAGAAACAACTTTGAATGTCGCCTCCCCTTTTGTTCACATGTTTGCTTCTTTGCTCTGAGGATAATACAATATCGTGAGATTCTAAAGAATCAAAACTCCACTTGATGACCTTGTAAACCTTATCTTTTACATCTGTGTTGTGAGGTTCGGACATTCTAAGTGATCCCAAAGCATCTTTCCAAAGCTCGACCCTCTTCTTCCCTCTCATAGATGCTCCGATGACAGTGATTGCTAAAGGTAATCCATCACACTCCTTTGCAATTTCCTCTGCAACTGGTTGAATATGCTCCAGATTGGCAATATCTCCCGCATTTTTCACAAACATTTGCCAAGATTCTTCTTCATCAAATGTCAACACCTTCATTTCGGTGTCTGTTTTCATTTGCCTACAAACATCGAAAAAACGAGTAGTAAAAATTATCTTGCTTCTTGCGGCATCTTCACGTTGGGGAACACCTACATGATCCAAATTTATAGCTTCCCAAACATCATCGAGTATAAGAAGGAAACTCTTTTCTTCCTTGAGCCTCTGATGAATTCTGCCTGCAATGCGTTCTACGCTTTCCTCACTGTCTACCTTTAGGTTTAATCTGTTGGCAATTTGTGCTTGAACCTTTCTTATGTGTGTTGGCGGTTTGGGCACTGTAACCCATACCACAACACTAAAAGACAGTTTAGAGCTTGACGCAGCAGTCTTTAGGAGCTCATTGTTCAAATTCTTCACCAAAGTCGTTTTGCCGACTCCTCCCATTCCCCATACACCAATGATGCATACCTGAAAGGATTCAAATACCCAAAAAAATAATTTACCAAATGAAAGATGCAACAATGGCTTTACAAAAGGAATCTAGAAACTTACAGAAAAGAGGCATAAGCTTTGATTATTCATTCATAATCTCCTAGCTGAAGGATGTCGGGGGTCTATTGGAAACAGCCTCTCTACCCTAGGGTAGGGGTAAGGTCTGGGTACACACTACCCTCCCCAGACCCCACTAGTGGGATTATACTGGGTTGTTGTTGTAATCTCCTAGTTGAACTATTTCAACTTAATCTCCACTACCACCTAAAGAAAAGATATAGTAGCCCTCATTTATCTATCTACACTATATACTATTATAAAAGCACGAAGATCCATAAATGTTGATCCACTTTTTTAACCATTAAAAATAGATTTCAAATTGGACAGAATGGTTGTACTTACTTTCCTAATTTTTTAGAACTTTAAAATCAACTAAAAATTCGCATTACAAATATTTCTTTATTTGAACTGTGTAGGAATTCCTAACGGTTTATGAATTTAAAGACATCTTAAAGGTAAAAGTCTAGGGATTCGTCAACAAATAACAACAACAATAACCCAGTATAATCCCACTTAGTGGGGTCTGAGGAGAGTAGTGTGTACGCAAACTTTACCCCTACTCTGGGGTAGAGAGGCTGTTTCAAAATAGACCGCGGCATCCTTCCCTCCAAGAACTTCCCACCTTGCTCTTGGGGAGACTCAAACTCACAACCTCTTGGTTGGAAATGGAGGTTGCTTACCGTCAGAATATGTCATTTGAAAGATTCAAAAAAAAAGACATTGGTTTAGCTCACTTGTTCGGATTTTAAAGATGATGATAGTAATAGATTGATCCCAGTTATATGATTAAGAAAAATCTGCAGCTGAAACCTTCACTTCAGGATCGATTGAATATATTAATTTAGCTTAATCTAGATCCTTCTCTATAAGCACTTTCAAAAAAAATCACGACTGTACTGGTGTACGAAATGAGTATTTTTCGAGTAAGTTTTTTTATCCTCGTGTGCATAAAGCATAAACTGACACACAAAGTTGCATCCGATTATTTATTTTTTTAAGAATATATGTCAGACCCATCCTAAACTGAAACAAATTGCTACATTGTAAATCCATTGGTCAACTTATAGGTGTAAAGAGTCACAACAGGAAGAAAATTAGAGCTTTTAGTCTAGAGGGGAAAAAATTACATAAATTAATTATAATTAAATTTTTAAAAAGCTCATTCTTTTCTTTTATTTATTATTTAAATATTTATATAGTTTAAGGTTATGAATTGCTAATTGTTTTCCATAAAACATGTTTTCAGAAAATATAAAACAAACAAAAAAAATTGCCCAATTAAACTAGAATTATATGTTTGGGAAGTCCTAATTTTAATAGGAACTGAATATAGACATGAGAAAAAAAACGTTGCAATTAGCTAAGAGATCAACTTCTTTTTCTAATTTTAACATGAATTCCATAAAACTCCTTTCAGGATTGTATTAACGGTGGGGTCCAGCCCATATGTGAAAGAAGAAAAGCTTGTTCTTTCTTCCTTTGGTCAAGCCAGCCAATTTAGAAAAGATTTGGGCGGCTGATTTTTTTGTAGTAGTGTTGATGTATACATCAACATAGGTATTCTGCAGCTATAAATAAGTGTCTCTACCTTCATTGTAAGATACACCAACAAAAGAGAGAAAGAAAGAGTAAGGTTTCACAGACAGGGTATAAGAAAATAGTCTGTGAGAAAAATAGAGAGTGAGTGATATTGTAGTGAGGTGGGAATATCAAAAGAGAGTTATTTCTTTTTGAGTGTTGTAGTGGTCTTTTGAGTATTTTACTCGGACCTATAAAGAGTAAAATTCCTTACTATAGTGATATCAGTTGTTCCTCTCGGGACAGTGGTTTTTTCCCTTATTCAAAATGGTTTTCCACGTAAAAATCTTGGTGTCATTGTTACTCTTTTATTCTTGTTAATTATCGTATCTCGGTGCTACGTTATTATTCCGCTTTTATTACCGTGAATATTAATTTTGTAGGGGGCTTATTCCCAACATTAACGTAGTGATTACAGTTGTGAAAGAATCCTAAAACTAAACACACTTAGCGTATTCTTCTTTTTTTCGTTTATTATTTTTAAATTTGAGTTAGTCAAGAATTCCTTCCTACTCATTAACAGGCAAAATAAGGGGATGAGGACTTCTATAGGGTAGTTTTTTCCTTTGTTGAGTTAGGTATAAAGAAAGAACATTTATTATTTTTAAGAACTTACGCTTTTATTTTAATAACTCAAATACAATTTTTAGTATAATATTTATTGATTTAAAAGTATATAACAAATATCTAATTATTTTAGATTCAGTATTATATCTAAAATAACAATAATTTTCTTAAGATATTCCTGAATAATACGACCTTCAAATTCAACTAAATACATGTGCAACACATACCTTTTTATTTGATTTTTTAGTTTATAACTCAAATACATTTTGACATAATATTATTTATGTGTCTTTTTTTATTTATTATCATTAATAAGGATACATGTGCAATGCACGTACCCAGAGATTAGTACCATTATATAGCACGAAACCTCAACACTAAATAGTGGTCGACCTTTTAACCCTGTAAAATATATTTTCCATTGGACAAAATTATAATTTAATTATTTTTCTAATATCTAGGAATTTAAAATTAACTAAAACTATGATTATTAAATCTTTTCTTATTTGAGTTACATAGGAAGTCCTAATATTTAAAATTTTAAAGTCGATTTAGATTTTATCTTATATAAATCTTTTCCTTATTTGAACTATGTAACATAACTATAATTTCCATGCTAATTTTCTAATATTTAGGACTTTAAAAAAAACTAATTTTTAATTATAGATTCTTCCTTCTTTGAACTATATAGGAAGTCTTAACACTTAGAACTTTAAATATCTCTCTCTCTCTATATATATATATATATGTATGTATATATAGATATAGATATGTATGTATGTATTTGAACATATTTCCTACTCAAATAATTTTGGATTAACTAATTAGCAAAAGAATTAACTTTAGTCATTTTCCAATATTATCATACAAGTAAACTTATTTTTCAAGTAGATCAGGTATATTAACTTGTTTCCATAAAAAGAGCATTGATGGTGAATAAATTTAGAAAGTAGAGCAAAATTGATTATTGTATATTCCTAAAAGTCAAATTGGTAAAAATGCAAACTTGACGGAACAAGAATATTGAAATGTAGATGTTAAAATATATTCCAAATGAGTTGACATTTATCACCTTTTCCTTTTGCATTATTTCAACAAATAATAGTTTCTTATATTTCTATTATACATTAAGTTATATATTGTAAAATATAACTCAACATTAGTCATTTCTTACCTTATATTGTCACTTAACATTTTTTTCCCTATGAGCTATAGAGCCAACCAGTGGCGGATACACATGGGGTTGGTGTCACGTGACACTGCTTCGCAAAAAAAAATCATTAAATAATTTTTAAATGATAAATTAAAAGAATAAATAACAGATAAACTAAATTGAGTGACACCGCTTGGACAAATGAGGTGCTTCAGTCTAGTGGAAACACATGTCACTATGTTACTTAACTATTGTTAATCGATAAATAAAATTTTCACCAAATAAAAGAAACCAGTATTTGAGAAACAAATAAGTGGAAAAAAAAAATTGGTGTAATAAAAAGAATTTTTTTTTCCGAAAAGATATTTCTTTCACCAATTTAAAAGAAAAGTATCTATACTTCATAATTAGCTTAAACTGAATGACAATTTGAGAAATGACAATTTGAGAAATTAACTCTTTAATTCGAACAATACCTTATCATCTTCTAACAATCGTAGAATTTCGTTGAGATTTTTTGTTGCTGTTGACTGGCCTTCAATTGATGGTCCTGGGATAAACTCCACTCTTTTTACCTGGTAATTTTCTACCACCAAATTTTGTTGCGGATAAGTTTTTTCTATCCATCCACTCCTAATCAGAGGTTGCAAGAGGAATGGCTCAGTGCTCCGTTTTCCTTCTTTATTTAAGAACTTGTTTGGATGGTTGTTACCTATTGTATTGTATCGTATTGTTATATTAAATACGATATTTATTTTTATTGTTACTTAAATTTTATTGTACCGTATCGTTAAATCCATTGTTACATAATAATGGAAAGTGTCACTTTATGGAACGACCGATTTGGTGTGGTCGCGTTGTTACCTTATTTTTTTCTCTTATCTTGTCCTTCCTTATTATTAAATAGTTCTACTTTATTATTTACCCTACCTTTTTATATAATAATTCTATCTCTTACCTTTCTTATTCTTTATAATATTGCAAGTTTATTCTTCATATTGTTGGTGCATAACATCATGCAATGACAACAATCAATACAATCTAACCAAATATTGTATAATAATAAAACGATACAGTTCAGTATAATATAATATAATACTATACGATGCATCATCATACATAACAACCATCTAAGCGAGCTGTAAGGCAGAATTCCAGGAAAATCTTCAATGAATTTTAAACAATTGTTGTGGAGCCTCTTCAGTCTTGTGAGATGGGACAACCATTTTCTTTTTTCTACTATTTAATTGACAAAACAAACATATAGAAAGGAAAAGCAGAAAAGGAAAGTCCACAGCAAGAGAATTTTGGATTATATAATAACTAATATAAGAAGCTTAAATCTTTTTATTCCTTTATTCTAGAGACAAGACTGAAGCGAGGGCTTTTCTCATTTTTATAATATATGCCTTCAATATTTAATCTTACAAAATCTATTTGAATTTTCCTTTTAAAGTACCACAAGAATCTATGTGATCCATTCTTTTAACTTTTTTAACATAATTTCAAAGAACCCAAATTTACCAAGAAAGCTCTAAACTTCAATCAATCAAAACCCTAAATCAATTACTAAAATACCAAACCAGAAGAAAAGAAAATTAACCTGATAAAATTTGTTCCTGAAACACATTAACATCATCGATTAGGTTGTAATTTGATTCGATCTTCAGAAAATTCTCTCTTTGACGAATGATTCAACCCGAGTCTGCTGGTTTTGCAACATGTGAACTAAGGCGTTGAACAATTCGTTCCATTTCTCTGTATCTGAAGAATTTTTTTGCTCCTTTGAGCTTCGCCATTGCAAATCGATAAAGCTGGAAAAGGAGAGGAAATGGCGGGTGGGACCACTGAGTTCCAAAATAAAATTGGAACGCCAAAATAAAATGTAAGCTATTTATACAAGCGGAATTATTTCTGACAAATTGCCACTTTTAACATCTGCTATTAATATAGTAGCCACAGTTTAAAAGATATCAAAATTTAACCACTTTTTTATACGAAAAAAATGTTGGATAAAAGATACCAATGAACTTTGATACGGAACAAATTTAGCAAATTATGCTGGAATTCGAAAAATTGACAAATAAAACACCAGTAAAATGTGTTGGAAGTTAGAAAAATTTAATGGAGTTTCAAACCCCATGATTGAAGAATAGATTACTTCCGGAAAACAATGACAAAAATTACTACAATTGAGTCTTTTCTTTTCTTACTTTAATTAACTATGATCTAATTAAACATTTTTATTCGAGCAGAATACATAATTACCCCTTTAACTTAGTCCCAATTTTTCTAAAATGTGACTTATTACTTTCTTTTTCACTTTTTCGCCCATCATCTTCTACTCATCATATTTTTATCATTTTTGGGCCACCAAACAACCATCAAACTAAAACCACCCGTTGAATCATCAAAAGAAACCACCAAATAAACCATTACCAGACCACCAACGTCCAACTGAGAAATAAATAAATCATACAGAGCTTGTTCCCAAATAGTGAAAAAAAATCGTGAAAACACTAGTCTAATTTTCCCTTTGCTTTCTTATGTAAATAATGAAAATTTTTAAACCCCATTAACAATACTATTGTCCTTGTTTAGAATAAAAGTTTCAAAGCGAAAAAATTGCTCAAAAATGATGTAGTGAATATTCTGACAAGAATAATAGTCTCAATAAAGAAAAAAAATATAGATTTGTCATCGAAGTAAATTTTTAGAGAAAACATAATGGACGACCTATTATTTTCTTTGACTCAACTAAACATTTTTTGTGATTGGATTTTATTTTCTATGGCTCAAACAAATAATTTTAGTAAAATAAAAGAGTTGGGTTTGTGGTTAATGAGATATAAACGTGTAACGACTCGATCGGTCGTTTTGAGCATTTGCACTTCGCTCGGTTGTTTGAGGGCATGAGTAGCCATGTATGATGTATTATGACTTACGTAAATCGTCGGTTTTGGTTTTCAGGATAATCGGAATAGATTCAGAAGAATGATTATCAGCTTGAAGCTTTAAATTTGAAAGGTTTGACCAAGTTTTGACTTTTTAGTATTTGTTTCGGTTAGCTCAGTTAGGTGATTTTGGACTTAGGAGCGCGTCCGGATTGTGTTTTGAAGGTTCGTGGTAGAATTAGGCTTGAATTGACGAAATTGAAAATTTGGCAATTTCCGGTCGGCAGTGAAAATTTTGATGTCGGAATGGAATTTCGGGAGTTGGAGTAGGTTCGTAATGTCATTTTTGTGATATGCGTGCAAAATTGGAGGTTATACGGACGAGGTTTGATAGGTTTCGGCATCGGTTGTGGAAGTTTGAGGTTTTAAGTTCATTAAGCTTGAATTGTGTGTGATTCATGCTTTGTTATTGTTTGATGTGATTTGAGAGCTCGATTGAGTTTGTATGGTATTTTAGGACTTGATGGTACCTTTGGTTGAGGTTCTGGAGGTCTCGGATGTGTTTCGGGTGAGTTTTGAGCGAGTCCGGGCATTTCTGGAACTCTGATATTGTTCTGGTGCCTTGAAAACGCGGACCTCGGCAAAATTTCATGGACTACGAAAGGGGGGTGCGGACCGCATAATGTTGGTCACGGCCGCACTCCAGAGGAAGTTCTCAAATTCACTGGTCCGATTTTGGAAGCCTATATCTTTTGATCTACAAAGAATTTTGAGATGATTCAAAAACAAAAGTTGTAGCCCTTCATGACTAGTTTTCATAAAGGTAAATAAGTCATTATTTGGACATCTGTAGAGAAAGTTATGGCCAAAATAATAAATCCTGACAGTGTAGTCACCAAAAAGTGCGGCCACACCATTTTTTCGCGAACGCCAGGCTTGTGAGGCGCGACCACGCTTAGAAGTTCGTGGACCGCGGTGAGGAAGTTTAGAGAACACTATATAACCGAGGGTTAGGATTTTATTTCACATCTTGGACATTGGGAGCTTGGTTGGAGGCGAAATTTTGGGAGTTTTTGAAGAAAATTATCTGGGTAAGTAATTCTAACTCGGTTTTGGCTAATATTTATGAATATATTATTGAATTCATCATTTGATTCGTATTGGGATGGAATTTGTGGGAAATTGGTGGAGTTTCATAAAATAAATTTTTGGGAATTAAAAGCTTTTTGAGGTCAGATTTGAGTGAAACTAGTATGGTTAGTCTCATAATCGAATGGGTTATCGGATTTTGCGACTTTTGTCACATTTTGAGATGTGGGCCCGACTTTTGAGTTGACTTTTTGATTTTTGGCCTAAAGCTTAGCATTTTCTTATGGGATTGATTCCTTTAGCTCGTGTTGATTGTATCGAATTATTTATGACTAGATTCGAGCATCCAGAGGTCGATTTGAGGGGCAAAGGCATCGCAGAGTAGGATTTGGCGTGGTTGAGGTAAGTAACGCTTTCAAACTTGGTTCTGAGAGTTCAAAACCCTGAGCTATGTGTTATGTGATCAGTACTAAGGTGACACAAATGTCAAGTGACGGGCGTGTGGGCGTGCACAGTGAGAATTGTGGCCTGGTTCATTCCGTGGCACTCCGTAGTGACTCTTCTTGTTGATATCCGTGTTTCTATTATGTGACTAAGTAAATGAGCTGTAAATTATGTTAATTATCATGTTAGGGCTTCATGCCGATGTGAACACCTAATTTTTGACAACATTTAATTTTTTATCACTTCTTTTATGTTAATATTTTAGGGGGTTTTAACCTACTATTATTTTAGCTTTATTACACTTTTTATTATAGGATAAAAAAACCAAAAAAAAAAAGGTGAATTATCACTATTAATATTATTTTTTTGTTTTTTTATATTAAAAATCCGAAAATATTTATTTATTTATTTTATAAAAAAATAATAATTTCGGGAATGATTTAAAAAATAATAAAAAGGGAAGTATTGAATAAAAAAATATATAAAAGTAGAAATAGGTAGAATTCTCTTTTTTTAAAAAGTAAAAGAATGTAGAAAATTTAAAAAAATAAAAAGTTTTGTGGAAATTTTAAAAAAAATAAAAAGTAAAAGAAGGTTGGAATTAAAAAATAAATATAAAGGTATCTGAAAATTTAAAAAATTTAAAGTAATTGAAAGTAGCATTTTTAAAAGAAAAAGAAATGATAGTGATTTGTTTTTTTTAAAGAAAAGTTAAATAAAGTGAGATTCTCTTTTAAAAAAATAAAAAAGTGGGATTTTAAATAAAATAAAAGTAATTAAAGTTGGAATTTTAAAAATAAAAGTGAATAAAGATGGGATTTCTTTTTCTAAAAAAATAAAAGCAATTTGTAAGTGGGATTTCTTTTAA